CCCCAAAACCCCAAAACCCCAAAACCCCGGAAGGAGATGAATATAAAGAAACTTAAATAATAATAATTAATAACACTAAAATGAAAGGAATCATTTTCCTGCTCTTGTCTATCCTGGCAGTATCAGCCAATGTGTGCACCAATGAGTATCAGGAGGCTGGGTCAGCCATCTCAGGAAGTTTTACAATCCCAGGATATACTGCGTTTTACCTGATGGACATACTAGACGATCAGAATAACGATTTACTGTATTTTGTTGGATATTTTCGTACAAATGTTGCCCCATATCTAGGTATTATTTACAAGACAGATCATACTTTGAATAAAATTCAGATTATGACTTATGGTATACATTCATTCGAAACTTTATATACTATAAATCAGGCTAAAGATTTCATCTACATGCTAGACCGCAACAAACAAGTAATACTTGAGGTTCGAGCAACAGATCTGAGCATCACAAGGGAGTTTTCAATTAATGATAGCTCTGCAACTTTAAATACTAATTCAGTCATGAGAGTGACCTACAAAATGTACTTAAACTTTGTTCTAAGCTCTGTCATGCAGACTTGAAGATGGGATCTGGTTAGCACTAATCTCGACTGATTTACCTTCGGAGTTAGTAGTTATACTAATTTTGTTCCAATTAATGAAGATCTATTATTCTCTGCATCTGTTGATACCTCAGGTGATCAATATTACTTGGTAAACTATAATTTCTCGGATTCATCAAACTTGGTATGGAAGAGAAGAATTACATGCCTTACTTCGGGATGAATTAACAAGATCAGTTCTTCTATTATTAGTAGAGACCAAGAATGGGTTTACACAATGATCCTGTATGATGAGCATTTTATTTTCCATAAACTTAGTATTCTTGATGGAAGTCCTCAAAACTCAGGCTTTATTTGGAGCAACAGCGGCATATTTCATAGCTTTTCGATGAAAGAATTCAATAATTTTATTGCTGTCCAGATATATTCAACGTCACTTGTAAGTCGTAAAAGGTTAATTTTAATAAGTACCAACAATTCAGAAATATTGGGAGAATACAAATCTGGAACAGCAAGGGCATTTTCTGTAGGAAGACTATTATATAAAGGAGAGGAATTAATGTATCATTCTGGCCAATATCTAATTGGTAAGAAATTCTTCTTAGCTCGAACATCAACAAATAGTATTGACCAACTTGAAGAGTTTGAACAAGATTCTCCTCTATTCTCACCAATTACTGGTGATTACCAAATATCTCCAACATCTTCTAATCCTAGTCTGACATCAAGCACAAAAACAGTGACAGTCTCTACCTCAACTACAGTTACTTTAACTGACATAACTTCTGCAACAAGTCCATCGTTCACTACCCATGTAGCCCTGTGGAACCAAGACTATATCCAGTCTGTCCAAGGCAACACTTCTGTACAATTGAACTTTACTTGGGCCTGAGCTCAGTCTGTGAACTACACTGACATTGCCTTCAGTCTGGTGAAGACAGGGTCTAATGTGATTCCTGGATGGGTGAGCATGAACCCAGACAGCCAAGAGCTCCGTCTGAATACAACTCCTAAGCTTGACAAAGACACCACTTTTAATTTTTCTCTTGAAATTGCGTTCGACAATCAAGTATATCACAAGAAATTTAAAATTACTGTTGAGCAATGTAGCATCCTGAATTGTGAAGTCTGACAATTGGGTGCTTCCAATCTTTGAGAGACATGAGCCACCGACTATGAAGCTACTGATGGTCAGAAATCTTGCTCTAAAATAGCTTCAATGCCTGGAGCAACTGAGGCTGCAGCTGCCATGGTCACATCAAGTGTAGCGATAGCCAGTGCATCTTCAGTGCTATCACTATCATCGGTCAACTCGATATTTAGCATCATGAACAGTCTGCAACTAGCAGTGCTGCTTCCACTGGTGCCGGATTACATTTCACCCAAAGTGCTTGACTTTCTGAGCAGTATGGGCTTCACGATGTTCTCATTCGACTTCATTGAGTTTAAAGAAATTCCGTTTGTCAAAGCTATATCTGATTGGGTGTCATACCCACAATCTGACGAATACTTGAACAATCTTGGGTTAAGATCTGGAAGTTCATTTGTCAACTACTTGTCGCTGATGGCTGTTATTGTGTTGATCGGGATCATTCATATGGGTATATCCATATGCAATCACTGAGCTGAGAATTCAAAACACAGAAAATGCAAGAAGTTTACCAATACATTGTTCACGTTCTTTACATTTAATATTTACATCAGGGTGTTTATTCAGGCGTTCTCGTTCACCAGTCTGTCAATCCTATCTGAACTTTACAACCTTAACCTGGATACCACTGTTACTAAAGTGTCTTTCGGAGTTTGAGTACTGTTCTTCTTGTGAACAAGTGTGTTGTTCTTACTATCGTTCTACATGTATTGCAAGTCATTTCCTGAAATTGACAAGGAGAAGTACTGGCCATGCATTGAGTACTTTAACGGAATCAAGCCAAACAAGTTCTCTAAAATGTATTCGAGTCTTTTCATGTTAATGAGGCTGATGCTATCATCATTGTTGATATTTGGAGCTGCTATTCCGGGGTCAACCAAAGGCACGTATTTCTACTTGGTTAATATTGGATATTGATTATATTTAGCTGGAGTCAGGCCATTTGAGAATATGCAAGATAACGTAATTGAAATAATTAACCAGGTGTTGTTCTGCTGTATGGCAGTTCCGCTATCTTGGCTCAACACTAAAGAAAGCTGGACTCCCTTTTATGAAAGTTATTACACTAATATATTCATGGTGTCTCCTGCAATCGGAAGCCTCGTGTGTCTCGGATTTTTAATAAAATCAATAATCAGCTACATTTACAGAAGGAAAGCTAACAAAAGAAAGCAAGATATAGCACCAAAGAAGACAGATCTTAACCAAAAAATACCTCAGAACGAAGAAGAGCCTGACCACAATGCGACTCCATCCATTGCAGCTCCCTCTTCTAATCTGAGCCAGAGCAATGCTTCAATGACACCAATTTCCCGACCTCAAAGAAAAGTTGCAAAAACAAAGAAAATCAGAGTAGATCCAAAACCAAATTAATAATTACAGAAAGCTTTTATTCTCAACTTTGGAGTCAAGCCTCGGGGTTTTGGGGTTTTGGGGTTTTGGGGTTTTGGGG